TCCTGGAGCCTCCCCTCAGCCACAAGACCCCAAGGCTGTGCTCACACCCACTGGGGCCCCTGCATCCCACCTTGGAGCACATCTCATGCAGGGCCTTGGCGATGCCCTTGGCAGGCACGTTGCAGTGGAAGACGTGACACTTGAGGACGCAGGTGTCCTTGTCACTGGCCACAAAAGCGAAGTCTCTGCAAGGCCATGAGCAAACCAGTGAGACCTTGGCAGAGGCAGCCCCCCCCTGCCCCACACTGTCCCCAGGTGCCACATCCCCTTACCTATCCCTGTAGCCGCAGCAGCATTCAGGGAGGGAGGAGAGGGGACAGGTTACTGCTGAGGTGCCTTCCCCCCTCAGCAGGCAGAGCTGCACCCCCAGACCCTGGCTCTGCCCTGGCCCTTGGCACCTGCCGTTGTTGCAGCCAACGCCCCAGACACGGATGTTTAGGATGGGCTGGTGGTGGATGATGCTGCGGTCAAGGGGGTCCACCAGACTCATTGTGTCCTTCTTCAGGATCATCACCAGGTCCTGGCCCTGCAGAGGGTTAGCAGCTCCCTCAGCCTGGCAGACAGCCTGGGCATCCCCAGTACCCAGCTCATGTGTAAGGACATCCTCTCTCCCTGGCCTGCTCAGTCCTAAGTGTGAGGACAGCCATCTTCCTCCCCACAGCCCTCGCAAGGTATCATTCCCACATGTGGGGACAGCCCACCCTGGCACCCCAAGCACTGTCCCCAAGGGACAGCCCTGCCTGCCCCACCAGCTCCACACTAGGGACCACTGCATGGATGACCTATGTGGAGAAAGTTGACTCTGCCACTGGCACCGATCCCTGTCCATCCCCCCACAGGCACAGTCCCCACCACTGGGGACAACAAGCCTCAACAGCAGTGACCCTGTGAGGGACTCTACCTGGCAGCACCATTGCAGGTTCTCACCTCGCCCTGGTTCTCTGCAGAGCCCTGGCCCCTGTTGTTGGAAAGCTGCTGGATGCAGTTGTTGACAGCAATGCTGCTCTTGCCAGGTGCCAAGTCCTCTTCGGGGATCTCCACCCAGCCCAGTGAGCGCACAGCAAAGCACTGGGCAGAGACACACGGGGCTTCAGTGCCCAGCCAGCACAACCACCCCTGTCCCACACCCCTCGTTCTACCAGCATGGTCACCCCTGCTCTCGCACCCATCCCTGTCCCTGCCAGCTGCTGCCTGCCCCCTCCTCTGCCAGCCCCAGCCCGTGATGTTGCAGTGAAGCCCCTGGGTGTGGTACCTTGGAGCCAGGCTCTACGCTGTGCTGGAAGTCATCCTCACGCTGGGGCAGTGAGGCCCTGCAGAGGGACAGGGTGTTGAGGATGTTGAGGGGATGGCCCCCACTCAAGCAGCACAGACCTGGAGCACCCAGGGAAGTGCCAGGATGCCCTAGCATGGGCAGACCCCAATGCCCCCAGCTGGAAAGCATCCCATGGAGGTGACCAGCGTCATCCTGCTGGCTCCAACGTGTGGGACTGCTCTAGTAGAGGGCACTGAGTCCCAGCAGCCAGCAGCCATCAAGGGTCACTGGTGCTCCATAAGCCAGCAGTGTGGACAACCCTACCTCTGGGACAGCGAAGCTATGGGGCTGGGAATGGGCCGGTCCTTTGCCAAGTGCTTCTCCGCAGGGGCCTGGCAGTCCTGGGAGAGAAGACAGAAGGATTGAGGGCAGCAAGAGAGGCTGTCAAGAGACACCAGGTAGAAACCCTCCTTTCCAGGACATCATCTCCTCAGCTTATGGGTACGCCATGCATCCAGGCTGAGGCCAACATGGGGCCTGCTGGAGCCTGTCAAGGGGCTTATCCCTCATCAGAAATGGGCTGAGCAGGACTTTGGAGTGACAGAGATAGACTTGCTCCCAGGGGAGGCTGGAGCACCAGTGCCCAGAGGGCCCTTCAGCAGACTTCTGTCAGGGGCTGGGATCCAACACTAGCCTGCACCCCACCCCACCCCACCCTCACCCACATTCCCTACCAGTGCCTGGAGCATCTCCTCCCCATCAGCCTCTCGCTGCCCTCCCAGGCTGGCGGTGTGTGCAGGGTGCTGCCACTGCGTCGTGCCGGTCGGCACATGCCAGTAGTAGGTGCCCAGAGAGTCACAGATTTTCCTCCAGCCCTGTGGGAGGTCAGGGTCTGCCTCCAGACTCTGGTCACTCCAGAGGTTGTCTGTGCAGAAGCAGAGCATGAGGGAAGGGTGGCAGGGGGTGGTCAGTCCCCAGCTGCAGGGCACCACGAGAAGCAAGCAGCTTCACCCAGCTGGTCTCTGGGTGCACAGCTGGGCACATGGCCCAGGAGAGAGGCATGGCGAGGAAAGGTTTGGAGTGATGCCAGAGCAGCTGCAGTCACGGCAAACCCCAGGCAGGCGACCAGAGAAGGCAGCTGCCTCACTGATGCCTGGAG